ATCGTAGTTAGTTACATTGCAGTCCCCGGTGTGTAATCAAGGTGCGTAAATGCCCTTTAGCTTCCTAGCCATATGTTTGTTTATTCGTCGCCTAGCAACGCTTCCCGGCTTACACGTGTATCAGCTGTGATTATTGATTATCTATATTGGGTTAGAAAGTTGATTGTTTGAGCGAATTTTCAGTGAAACTCAATAAACTGTAAATGAATATATTCAATTAACACAAAAACTGAACTAAACTAAAAAAAATTAAAATAAAAAACAAACTAAACCTCTAACAAAACCTGAAATGACTAACAACAGAAAAAACAATACCATAACAAACCGATCAGCTGATATTAAGAGATGTATTGTAAGGGAAAAATATTAATAATTTTCTTTTCAAAAAAGGTAATTTATTTGACCATAGACGTCTTAGCTTGGCCCCTTTCTCCACTCTATAGTTTACCTCTTGCACTTCTGTATTGCAAGTATTTAGTATCCTTGTCTTCTGTATTTCAAAACACCACGAAAGCTATTAATTTACAAAACAGCACCTTAACTGCAAAGCAGGGCTTTGTTTCGATCTCACAATTAGAATTTAATATGTGCAATGAGGAAGAGTTTGAGTACGACATTTATAAGATTCGATTCAAAATTACACCTTTATCTTATATGAAAAAGGCCCAGTCAACAGTAAAGTGCCACAAACTCCCTAACCAGTCCTACAGGGAAGTCATCTGAAATATTCTTCAAAGAGTATGAAAGTGATCAGAAGCTGCGAAACGAAACGAAGCTTTGAAAAATAACGCATTCTCTTGAAATTCTCTATCGGGCCAATAATAAGGCACGCATTTAAAAGTGTGTATAGACGTGTATGGACAGCAGTCCTAACTGTGAAGTGTTCATTAAGCTGAAGTGGAGGTTGAAACACTTCAGTTGACGTTCAACAAACATCGGTTCACTTCACTGAAGTGTGTTCATAGAATACAGTTAATACAAGTTGTAAAAATGTGTCATGAAATTTAGGAAAGCCGATACTTCCTACTTTTAGGAGTATTTTATTTTGGATAATTGCTGGTTAGTTGCCTTGATATAGAGCTCCCCTAGTAATATGATGGTTGCCGGTTCGATCCTGAGAAAACTCGGAAAGTTTTACTTTATAATCAAAAATAAGGGCCAATAAGGGGAAAACAATTGTTGCATGTGAAAATGCTCATTGAAAATATATTGAAACATTTTATGATATTTAAGTGGTATGAAATAAAAATTGCAGTTAATTTTAGTGTAATGCTGGGTGATTAATAGCCGGAAAGCTTTCGTTTCACCGAAGAGCTTATCGAACCCAAAGGAAAACAATTATTTTGTAAATGTAGGATTTGTTCCTTTGTAGACCAATTAAAGCAGAACTAAGCGTCGAGGCTGAAGTATCACTTGAACAGTCTTCAAACAGAACGCAGACAGCTTTGCTTGGAATTGTTTGGTTAAAGGAAATGATTGTTATTGTGTTCTTTTTTATGGGATAACCTGTCTTTTAAGATAGGTACTTTATAAAAACGAAGGCTCTAAATTGAGCTAATCTATCTATAATATTAAAACGAAACAGTGTTTTTTTATTTCACGATTCTGAATCAACCATAAGAAACGGATTTTCATGATTTTTGTGTTGAAAGAAAGATAATTTTGAGAACTAGGGAATGTCGAAGCCATAATTTTAGTTTACGGTCCCAGTTATTCAGAAATTAAGTTTTAATTTTTGAAAAGTCTAGCAGCCGACGCTAAGATTATAAACTAGCTTTTGGTATATTATAATTTGTTTAACATAACAGCTGTAAACATTCAGCGTTTGTAACACAAACTCAGCATTTGGATAAAATTAAAATACATACTAAGGGTTGACTTATTTATACTATATGTAATGCTAATCATTTATACGTTCAATCCTTCGATAAGAGGATGACAGATTATTTAAATATACATAGTAAAATACTAGGATGTTCAAAGGATTTTTTTAAATAAATCTTTGTAATCTTCGGTGTGTTTTAGTTCAATATAATTTTCTTTTAACTAACAGCTGGTTAAATACAAATGTTCAATAGAACTATGAGGTTATTTTATTTACTCTGATTTTGTCATTGATTATAGGAAATAAGTAAGATTAGTACAAGGGTCTTAAAAAAAGGATATGCACATTATTTTACTGCTCAACTTTTTTAGGAAAGGGTAGGAAAATCAATTTTTTACAAGTTTTAATTGATCTTGGTAGCTTTTTGTTTACAATTAATGTTTTTGAATGCTTAAACTTTGTTTGAATTAGGCCCGGAAATATTGATGTCATAAAGATGGAGATCAAGAATCCTCAGGAATACGATTTTAAATTACAACCACAACCTCAGACGGGTGTATCCAAAGATATACAGATGAATGACATAGATTGAGCACAACGTCATCATTGACCTAGGATACTGCAATTAGACAACCCATCCTTTTATGAAATCTAAAAAGTTGTTTGGCGTGTGTTTAGTTGTTTTTAAGTTTGGAGGCTCTGAATATTTTATAGTTTTAAATAAATTAATATGGGGAATTACGGTGTACATTGATTCAATGAGGGTGGTTTAATTATTAAGGATATTAGAACTGATAACGGAATGGATAATAAACATAGCCAATTAATTACGTCACTAGCTTTACTAGCGTGTTTACGGTTTAAATTCCTTCAACATGTGACCAGTTCTTTTGTTCAAATGAATATTATTTTATTTTTGACTCAGCTGTTTGCCAAAACAAACTATATGTTGTTGTTTTTACTTTTTTACACTTATTTATTTAGCAATTGATGCAGTGAAATTGATATAAAGAATATGTGTGGACGATTCGTTTAATGATGTCAGGACACCAACGTTATAATTATGTGTCCTACTGTGAATTTGATTGGATGTTTTAGTTTTATTTTTGGGAGTTTCTATTCAGGCCTACTAAAAATTGTGTATAGTATGAGTAATTTCATTGTGGTGATATTTATTATGGAAGAGGCAGGTATGCGATGGAATTGGAAGGTGATATCGTTGACTAGGCCTATACACTTCTCAATTGAAAATTACTCTTTCTACTGTAGGCTGCAATAAAAATTGTCTTTGTACGTGTAAGCTGTTCTGAGTTATTCACAGTTTTAACTGACTACTCCCGTACGTAGGACGGGCTAACACCTCGTATATATAAAATCCAATGTATGTTTGTATGTTTGTTTGTTTGTTTGTCCTTTGTGGACTCCGAAACCGCTCGACAGATTGTAATGAAACTTTCAGGCATTATTAAGCATTATTCAAGGGTGGTTTGTGTGAAGTTTGGTGTAGATCCGTCAAAAGGGCTCCGCCCCAGTGGCTCTGGAGTTTCCCATGTTAACCTTATGAGTACTCTATTTAAATGGAATTACAGAATCTTTACAGCTGGTTCAACTAAAGAATTTGATTCTGTGATGCTCAAAAGCATTATAAAGTTAATAGGTTTTACCAACAGGGCGCAGCACTATTGTTTTTTTTTATTTATGACAACAGCTAATTTGCAACCAAAAGGTGAGTGAGCGTAGCGAACGAACTTCAACCTGGAGGTGAGTTAGCGTAGCGAATGAGCTAACCTGAAGGCAATTGAGCGCAGCGAACGAGCTCCAACCTAAAGGTGAGAGAGCGTAGCAAACGAACTTCAACCTAAATGTGAGAGAGCGTAGCGAACGAACTTCAACCAAGACGTGATTGAGCCATGCGATCGAGCTCATCTTGAAAATGAACGAGCATTTGACATAAAACCACAATAGGACAGGACGACGTCTGTCGGGCCAGCTAGTTAGATATAAGATTAGATTGATGTTTCTTTAATCAGCACCATATTAAAATCCAATAGCCATGAACGTCAGCTGTCCATTTTTGCACAAAAAAACTACTGACCTTTTTTATGATTAAACCTTCAAATGACTGATACATAAGCACCATAATATTTCAGCCACCCAAATAATAAAGATATGCAATTTTCCCCATAAGGAACTCTATTAATTATCTTTATATTTATTTGCAATGCTACAAACAACCATTTTTAACACTTTATTGAACACTTAACTCTCTCAATAGTACATTTATGTTAGCATAGTATTGTAGTGTATTAATTGCTATCTAAATAGCTGTCTGTCCTCATGACAATATGTGTAGACAAAGCCATGTCCAGAACTGCAAGAACCCATTGTATAACATCTGCCATTCTGAAACATATGACTAAGGCAGGATATAACCTTGAGTTGATGATTGGTTATTGCTAAAAAATCTAGATATAATGATTAACGTGGATGACAGAACCAAAGGATTGAGTGGGCGCAACAGTATTAACTTGATATAAAAGTAAATAGTTCTAGTGCACCTGTTACATTCTATGTGTTTTATAACCAGTTGAAATTGGCAGTTGAGCTCAAAAACGTGACATCAAGTTACTAGATAAACAACTAAAATTAAAACTGCCAAAAGTGTATGAGATTTATATGTTATCAATCCAAATCAGTTTTTGAGTTCAAAAATATGTGTCACCATAAGAGTCTCAGAATATGATTATCTTATGAAAATTAATAAAGTCAAAACGTTTGTGTGTTAGATGTGTGATTCAAGTTCATCAAGAGACCTTAATTAAAGCAACGTAACTTCACCGGTCACCGTTACGGTCTCTTCTTGATTAAACCGTAGTGAATAGCAATCTAGGCTAGCCACAAGCTTAGTCGGTTTTAAGATTAAAATATATAAAAGTACTTGGGAATATTATAGTCAAAAATACTTCAAAAGTTTCCATAAAAAATGAAAAACAGAATAATATATTAATTTGAATCCATCTCTAAAATAATTATATGATTTGCTGAGAATGATATGCAATTGTTTGTCAACGATATGCCATAGCAGTTTTAAGATGTTTAATTACTAACAATGAAAATGTTATAGATCTTCGAATGTGATGGAATTTTTTAGTAATTACCTTATTTTTCTTTTCAGATGAACTATCCTTGAGACAAGCACATAAGGTATGTAAAATTGGAAGAAAAGACTTCCTACATTTCACACTAAATACAGTAGGTATATTTGGTCTAATGATAAACTTCTAACCAAACAATATCACAACCTTTTGCTCATAAATACTTCTTATTTCTTTGCTTAAGTTATAATGTTCGATTAATATTGTTCAATATACAGAGTAAATGTATCTTTTAATAGAAGCGGCCATCGACTTATTTCCATAGTTTGCACGCAATTTTCTCCTTGAAAGGACACAATCCCTTTCTTCGCTCTTACAACGACCATAAGGGAATATTAAACGTGGAAGTATTATATTTTATAAATATAACAAAAGAATCACGTATTTCTAACATTTCAAAGCATGTCCTAACGTATTAGTATAATTAGTTAGTAGCATTGCTATTGAAAGTGGTTGAATAAAATTCAGAAATTTTTAATACAAATATATGTTATTGCAATTTCTTATTTTTCAGTGCATATAAAATGTTCTGGAGGGTAATTTCATAGAAATTTAAAGTTTATTCAATATATGATTATTTGTAATCACTACCTTGACTTTATTTTTTAAATTTATTTTAATCTTAATCACTATCTGACTAGGGCCTAAGTACGAAATCAGTTTTTTGAAAGTGAATAACAAATAATAAAAGGGGGAATAGTGGTTAGAGCACGGGACTTTGATTCAACAGGTCTCAGGTTCAAATCCCGCAAAATCACCAATGGATTTTATCTAAGTGATAAGGCCGCAACCCTAACCTGAAGTAATGTGAAAAACAATTCCGGGCTCGTGTCTAACGTCCTATACTATGTCAATATTAATATATTCATAGCCCAATGACAAATGGCATCTGGGTCTGGAAACGAGTGTTAGGAATCGAACCAGAGACCTTCAGATTTGAAGGCGAGCACTATAACCCCTCGGTTACCTAGACGTAATCGTAATTTAGGTACAGTAATCTTGTTAGTTTAAATTGTTATAATTATTAATTTAGCTATGCCAAAAAACAAACGAACTTCTTAAATTCAGTGTTGATCGTCAACTTCTAAACACAGTTTGTAAACCAATAAAAGATCAAACTATTGTTTTGGGTTCACGTTATAAACTTTGTAATGAGGTTTGCCTTTGGACCAACGTAAATATATAAATACCAATGTAAATAGTAGTAATTGACTATTTACACGAGTGAATTAACCTGATATGGAAACTTCAACAAACTATTTTACAAGTTATAGTCATTGGGAAGCTGAAAGGGAAATTTGGAAACTAAAAGGGAGGGAAATGCTTACAGCGAAGGGTCGTTCCCTTGTTACAATGTTGAAACACTTGATCCGAACACCCTTGTCTGCTTGATTGCTCTAAATGGATGTATAGTGAAATGACCAAATAGAGTAAAATATAGATGAATAAAAATCGTTTTAAATGTTAAATTGATTTGTTATACTGTCAATACTGTTGTTAAAGCTGTCATAAAAGGAGTTTAGAATAACATTTTCTTATGTAAGTACGTTTAGTTTTGCTGAATATTGGGCTATTTTAGTTGTAAAATCATCCAAAAGCGTATACATTCCTAATTTTGTAACATAAGTTTGATGTTAAAGCGAAGTTGTATTATCGGTGTATAAGGGTGAAATTGTCTTCTGTTAAATATGTTTTGTTTGCAGAATTTCATCTGTGTTGCCAAAAATAGTTGGTTATTTTAAAGTAGAATTACTTTAGTTATATTATAATACTCCTAAAACTTTAGACTTTCGTGCTATTTAATATCTTATAAAAGAGTGCTTAGGTAAACTGTATTACAATTGTCAATACAGTTAGTTGTTAGTATCTTTAATGTCTTTAACACCTTTGGCATAGCTTTCTTCTTTGTAATGCTAAAACCCCTGGTCTTGTTGCAATTGTTTTTGCAAACTCCATTTTTTAATTTATATCCCCATGAAAATGGTATCTGGGTCCATATTTGTGTCTGCTTAGCATAGAACCAGCTACCTTAAGATTTAAGTGCTACTCAACCAGACAACTAAAACAATTGAGGTATATTTTTGTCTCGTCCTCATTATAATTATTATATCCAAACGAATTTTAATCAAATGGTCGTCTTGATTTTGCGTAATCTTAATAAACAGTAGGTTTACTTTGCTCAAATACCAAGCTGTAAATGAAGTAGGTAAAAACAAGGTGGCAGACAAAAGGTAAACACTAAATAATTCAGAGTAGTGCCCAGACAAAAGGCCAGACTGCGCTGCAATTGTCTAACGGACATCCTTGTTAAGGGTAATCTTGTCTGGCTGAGATACAAGTAGACTTTCTGCATTAGGACCAATAATAGCAATTACTACATAGTGTACAATAAGCTACTAAATGGGTTCGTCTTAGTACGACTTGTATTGTAATGTTGTTTAGTTCAAATATAGTTAAAGAATAATTACAACTCAAAAATATAAAACTAATGACAAAATGTTTACCATCGAAGTACTGCTATTATTACTTTTCTTTTTTTTTAAGATTTTTAAAACTATTTTACTCTAGCTGTACTAACTTTTTAAAACTGTATAGGATAATTTCACTTTACAAAACCTCTTAGTTGAAATCTTACAACAAACTTCACATATTAAACTAGCAAACCAAAGTGGGTTTTTAAAAGATGTCTCCTTAGGAATAAATTGTGATCGAATTTCAATTCTTTAACTACTTACCTATTGGAAAGTACTAATTCTCAGTTCTCAAAGTACAGCCCAAGCCATCTATGTCTAAATTGTATGGATGAACGAAACAGTATTTTTTTCGAATTTTGTTGAAACCGTTATAAAAAAAACATTACTTGGAAAAGTTTAAATTCAGTTATATACATCAGTTGCTTAACATATTTTTAATATTTCTGTTCTTTAAAGTTCAGTCATACATCAATCATGAGCTATTCAATTACAGACTAACGTTTTAATTGCATGGATGGGAACGTTGGTCAGGATATAGAAGGGACAACAAGCATTAACTATTTAAACTGGTCAGTTTTAGATTATTTAACTTCTGTCCATGTTTTGCTACCATAATTGAAACCAGAAATATGGATAAATATTACGATTTTCAAAATATTTTGTCAATGATCGCCCTATAATTTGTATTCGTTGTGAAGTAGGCCTACACTGCCTTCCTAATACGTGAAGGGATGATCTTTTGTCATAATTGAGATGTTGTTATATACTAGAACTCATGCAGTCATATTGTACTTTTTTAGTTGTGATATCTTGAAGTTAGCTACTGAATTCATACAGTGCATCGCTTTGTGAGAATTACAAGATGGAGTCGAAACTGAGGCATATGGACTATCAACTTTAGGCATTATAAATGAGTGTGGTATGAGGAAAAATCTTGTCTCTATTACTGGGGGATTTCGTTTTTCTTCTGCTAGAATCGTCAATGACTATTCTCTATAAGCCCAATCGAGGATAGTTTGGCGCAATTTCGAACCATAAAAACCTTCTTAACCAACCAGAATCGAACCGGTGGCCTTCGGATTGTTAAGCGATCACTGGTACCACCCAGTTATGGAGTTTATTAAATATATATGTTCAAAGAAATATCATTCTACATTGATAAACATACTTTCGTTTAATTATATTGAACAGCTGTTCTTATATCACAAACCCCGCTCAAACTCACCATGTTACACGTGTGTTGTCTGTCCTCTATTGTGTTCAGAGTTCGTGATCGTGTTCAGAGATCCTCTATTATCCTTTGGTTTAACAAGGCTGTGCTGGCCATATCATGGCTTATATTATTTTCTTTATGTAAAATATCGGTTAACAGTGCTATTGTTAGGTTTAATTTTATGAAATGATTTTAAAAGTCTAATTACATTGTTTAAAGAACATCTTATAGGTGTAACCTGTTTTTGTTAAGTCATGTAATAATGGTTTTGTATACTCACGTAGGGAATTCCTAACATTACTAATTATGATACACATTTTCCGAACAATGTACATTATTTTTCCAAAAGTTTTACATATGAATTATATTCATGGACCAGATTTTTAGTAAATTTCCTAGTATTTTTAATTAAATTAACGTACATGGAATGTGTTTTGCTTACGGTATTTGTAATACTCTAAGGACTACGATTTAATTTATTTATCATTGTTTTTCATCCTTTAAAGCAAAGTCTTCCATCTTCTGCGTCGCTGGTTCGTTCCTATGATTGATCAGCCTTTAGTTCTAATGGTATTCGGGTCTCATCCTTCACCCGTGTCAAAACTTTATTTTTTATTCTAAACAGGAAAATTTTGAACCTAGTTATATATACTCCATGACAATCGGTTATTGATATTATGATTTCCTAGCGTCTATTTTGTACGGTATTAGTGTATGGGGATAGTAGTTGATGTGAAATAAACGTAAAATAAGATATAATAGATTTTTAGTCAAATTTAATAGCAAATTGAATTGTCAACATGTTTTTCCTTTTTTCTTTTTTTTTTTTCTGATTTTAACTCATAAATCCTGCTAATAAAGAAACCTCATCTTTGCTTTACATAAAGTACATATCCTTGTAAAATATACGGTTTCATAACACCTATTGTGTACTTATGTAGTCCTGAGTTCAATTCCTCACGACAAAATTTAAGGTAGCACAAACTATATCAGAGTTCACTCGATTGAGAAATTGTTAAACTCAAACTGTTACATTTGACATAAAATAACTACTTTATTACACAGTTTTATTAATACGCAGTTATATATGCGTGTAGAACTATATGGCTACATAGCACCTATCGACTGCCTGCCCACACCTGTCTCGTGTTTATTTTCGTGTTGCCATGCGACGGTTGGTAACCCTGGGACTGATCCTAGTTACACCTAATCATTAACTTGCTCCGGGGAAATCAAAATATAAATATCCAATCACCTTGGATTGTGACTAATTTGTAAAAATATACACAATAGACATCTAATAAACTACTTTTGTAAAGCAAAACTTACCTTAGAGTAGTATTTGTATTTTATTGTTGTGTT